TTTTTTTTTTTTTTTTCAGTTTTCACTCAAAAGAAAAACTATTATTTAAGCATATACTAAGGTGTGTTGATCCAGACCTTCAAGCCGGTCTACAACTACGCAAAAATCTTTTGCAAACATATAGTCTCCTACTCAACTTTTTTTTCCAATGTCGTCATCTCTCCACTCTCCTAACACTGCTTCATCAAGTTCTGAAATACATCGCTTGTTTCCCTTCATCACTCACCTATATCTTTAACCGGTTTTCTTTTATTCATAAATCCAAAAAATATGCCACACTTTTCTAGGTACCGGATATAACTGGGACGGAGGTGGTTGACGCTATGACTACTTCTATGGATGGAATTGAAGAACTGCCGGCGAATGAAGAAAATCAAGTTAGTTTCACAAAATTACTTTCTAGTCTCAAAAAAAAAATGCATCTCAAACTTGTTGACTAGTTGTAACAAAAAAAAATTTTTTTTTACTGTTTTTTTAATGAAATCTTAAAATACTAATTCAATAATTTTTTAATTTGTATACATTTTTTTTGCAAATAACTCAGTTTTTTACATTACTGTCTTTTTAAAAAAATATTCTGGTAAGCCTGACTAAAAAATTTACACTAATTATAATATTGCAATAAATTTTTGAGTAAATACAGAACGCAGACACTCCTGAAACTGAGCATGCTGAAGCTCCACCCGAAGAGCCCAAAACTGAAGAAGTAACCGACGATGCAACACCGGCAAAAACCACCACAGAGCCAAGTGTTGAAGAAACTGCTGAAGAACATCCAACAGAAGTCACAGAAGAAGCGCCTGCAGCTGAAACAGAAAGTGATATTCATACAGTTCAGAACATTGAAGTAAAAGCTGATGAAAATCCACCAGAACCAGAAGTAGTCGAGAATGAAACAGAACTTCATGTAAGTAATCGCTTATATTGACCAATCAGTATGCTATCATCTAGCTTGGCAGATGTCCAATATTCGCCTTCTATCTTGACCAGCTCCTCCATGTCCACATTTTTTCTCGGAGTAAAAAAAAACGCTATTGTACAACTGCGAACTTACTGTTCTATTAGCAAAAACAGCATTTGCTTCACATAAGATTCGCATCTACAGCTGTTACACCTTTTATTTCTTAAGATGATTCTTTCTAACTCTTATTAGCGCTACTTATCTGAAGAGGAAAAAAGGCAGCGTTATAAGACAGTAAGTGAGCGACTTTGAAAAAAAACAGTCACAAGAAGGTTGTTTTGCGGAGGTATCAATAATAAGAGTAGAATCACGAAATGGCGATAAGCTACAAAATGATTATTAAGTCGAAAGAAGATGAGCGAATTATTTTATTACCTTTCCATGCTACTTCCTTGTTACTGTTGCGGAACAGTCAACAAATTCTTGTGAATTTCAATTCTTAAATTCTGTTTAATTCTGTTGTTTTTACGGAAGCCTGTTTGGTCAGAAATTAAATTTGTTTTTTAAAGATGCTAATTATAGTTTTTTGAATTTATTTGCAGCTAGCTTACTGAAGCTGGAAAATGTCTCTAAGCTAGGTAAAGTTGAGAACAGTTATACTGAGCAAAGACTAACTTAAAAGAAAAAACCTTGGTATTTCTAAAAGCTTCTTGCTTTAAATTTTCCGACCACACACAAAAGTGCAAAAGGTATGAAACTGTTTCAGCTAGAAGCAGAGAAAGAAGAGCCTTTAATTACCGAACCTACCGAAGAAGAACCATCTAAAGAAAAGAGTGCTTCAGAAGCAGTTGAAGAAGAAAATGTAAGCAAAGAGGTAGTGGCTGAAAGCGAAGTTCACAAAGAAACAGAAGCACCACCATCAAATGAGGCAGAGGCTGCTGATAAAGTACCGCCTCCAGAAGAGGCCAAACCAGCTGCCGAAAATGCACATGAAGAAGTTGAAAAGCCCAATTCACGCAAAAGCAGCAAAGCTGAAACAGAATCTGAAAAAACGGTTTCACGTAAATCCAGCAAAGGAGATGAAGTGAAAATTGAGGAGACAGAAAAAGTCAGCTCACGAAAGTCTAGCAAGTTTGAAGAAGAAACTGAGAAGGTCGTCTCACGCAAAACGAGCAGGAAACTTTCACGTAAAACGAGCAAAGCAGAGAGCGGCTCTGAAACACCTGCAACACCGAAATCAGCGAAAGGGGAGTTAAGATTTGAACTTCCAAACGAGGAGGCCCCGTCGTCACCCAAGCTACACAAAAAAGTTAGCAAGACGGAAAGCATAGAGGAGGAGAAAGTCACTGAACCTGTTCCAGCAGAGGATGAAAAACCTCTAGAGGAAGGTAAAAAACTGATTAAAACAATTTTCGAATGTTTTTAAATTTAACGTTTCAGGAGTTTCTTGTAAGTTTTTACAAAAAATTGTGGGTATTAAAAAATACCAGTGAAAAATAAATACTGGAATTTTATTTGAACTCATTTTTTCAACTTTAGCCGCGCCTTCGGATGCTGAGCATGTTGAAGCAGTGCCCGAGCCAGAAAACCCGCCACCAGAGGAGAAGCCGGAACAAGTTCCAGAAGAACAATCAGCACCTGAACCGGAGCCAGAACTGGAACCAGCAAAGGAACCAGAACCAGCCCTGGAACCTGAACCAGAGCCAAAGCCAGAGCCAGAGCCAGAACCAGAACCAGAACCAGAACCAGAACCAGAACCAGAGCCAGAGCCAGAGCCAGAACCTGAAACTCAAGTAGAAAGGTATTTCGTGTTCTTCTCTAAGCACTGCTTTCAAATTTGTTAATGAAAAGGCTCTGTGATAGCTAATAACCATCTTTATTTTTTGTTCAAATTTACAAAAGATTGTTGAAATTAAGCGCAGAGACAACCGAGGCTGTTGAAGCCGAGCCAAAAGCCGAAGAAGCAGGAGAAGAGACTAAGGAGTCAGAAAAACATTTAGAAGAGGCTCCAAAAGAAGAGGAGCACGCAGAGCCCGAAGCTCCCGAACCTGTTCCAGAAGTAAAGTTTTTATTCCATTCTGCCTGTGAAGTAAATGTTTTTAGCGAGAAAGTTGCTAGCCGGATAGTAGCACACTAGAAGCTGTCAAACTTTTCTTTTTTAACAACCTTACGCATAACTTAATTTTAAAGAAGCAAATTCAATTTTAAAGAAGTCAGTTTACAAGAAGCCTACTTTGCAGGAAAAAGAACCTTCACCTGCAAGAGAAACAGAGCAGTTAAAGCCGAGAGAAGAAGAGCCAAAAGAAGAACCAAAGGTAAAGTGTTTGTTTTGAACAAACATTAAGCTTGTTCAACCAACAAACAGATTTTGTTAGAACTACAATTCGCTGATACCGTTAAAAAATCCAAATTTTCAAAAACGTAATCAACAAGTGACAATAGAAACATTTGTTCTTTTGGCAACAACCTTTATTTGATTTTACACATCATAAAAGTTTAGGCAGAAGCTGAAGAGCATGTAGATCGTCCGTATCGACGAGTTCAATCTCCATCTCCTCCGCGACGTGTAAAGGAAAGATCACCACCGAGAACTTCGCGAGCAGCAGATTACTCATATTACGAAAAGGTTGTCAAAATCTTTGTCAACATTCAGGCTGTTGTTAGTAGGAAGATGAAGATAAAACAACACTGTAAAGATAGCAATCTTCATTAAAATTTATTTGTCTTATTTTGATCAGGCTTGAAATAAAGAACCTTTTTAAGGAAGGGCCAAAAACAGAACCACCTCCAAAACTTCCATCTTATACATCATTTTCATCATACCTTCCGCTGGAAAAGACCGGTTATACTCCGATAAGTCCGTATGTATCTACGAGAAAGTATAACAATATTCCATCATACACGACCTCTTCGTACTTGACCCGGTTTGATGATATTGTCAAAACAGGTTTGTGAAAGCCATTATTTTTCTAAATTATATCAGCAGAATTTTCCGGACACTAACTTATTGGTACGTTTTTGGAAATTCTTCTGACTAAACTTACTTGCTGGGTGGATCTTGTGTCAGTGTAAGAATCTTGATTATATTTTTAAAGTGGATTACAAAATAAGATTATTAAGATTAAGATTTGATTTCTAGGTACATTGATACTCTGTTATGAGAAAAGAATTAGTGTTGTTTTTTATACAGCTAGAACAACCAAATTATTTAGGCGTCTTGACAACTCATTATTTTTCGCAGCTTGATGTAGATAATCTTCGAAAGCGTAAATTAAATTTGCGTCACAAATGGACGCTACAATTATTGCAGTTTACCAGTTTCTTTACTACTGGTATTGGTATTAAGAAATGAAAAAACGACATATAATAAAGCATTGCACAAAAGAGGAATGATGTCTGTTTCTTAACAGCATATTCAAAGAACAATTTAGGAGCTTTTGCTAGCAATTTGTATTCTACAAGCCGTTTAATCGAACGCTCAAGAAGCCGCACAAGAGAGCGCAGAAATGCAATGCGATCTCAGCGTTCAGCCAGTAATTATAACCGGTAACAATAATTAGTGCTATTAAAAGTTGCTTCTCAAATTAATAAACCTGTAAATTACGTTCAAACACTAAATCTGAACATACGGCTAGCAAAAGTTACAAATTTTTTAAAATGGAAATCATTTCCACCAAGTAATGCCTATTGAACGCAGTCAGAAAAGTCTAGCACTAATGTGTGATCAATTTTATTTTCAGCTACACGTCAGCATACGGCACAGCGCCATTCCGGGCTCGCGATTATTCCACACCACCATCAACAGCTATTTCTCGAGTGCCGTCAAGATCTGGAAGTTTTGCAGCATTTATGGATTACAGCGGTGCTAAACAGTATGAACTTGCACGAAACAGAAGTCGTTCTGTTACTCCGTTGAGTACTGGTTATAGTGATTACAGGTGAAGTATTTCACATGCAAAATATTATACTAGCTGCGGTTGCAGAATACATGTTTACAAAAAAGCCTACAAAGATACGTCTTTTCTACTTCAATTCCTTGCAGTGCAAACGATTTTCCTATTTTTTCTTTTTTTTTTATGAACGAATATTTGATTTTTCGAAAGATTCGTTGTGTGCCAGTCTTTCAGAGCTTACCACACAGCCAAAACAATAGAAAATTTTTTGCCCGACATAACTCTGCAACAAAAACTTTATCTAAAACAATAAAAATTGCAAAAAAAGTAATACAGGCCACGATCAAACATCGATTATTTCTACGGTGCCGGTCGTTTATCTCGAGTAGACAGCTATATCCGCGACTTAGAACACAATTATGAATCTGATCTTCCCAGCAGTTATGCCAAGTATCGTTCATCGTCTCGCCCGTATATACCAACAAGCAATTTGTACTACACTGTATGTTTATCTGTTCATTTATTAATTCATTTTTTGCGACTTCTTTTCCGCTGGAAGATAAATTAGCAGTATATTTAAGTTCTAAACTTTTTCAGTCTCTTTTTTTAGAGCTATCAAATGAAAACCTATGACATTCCTACAATGACAAATTCTTTTACATACAGCACCGAACCGAAATGGCGTAGTTTGTACGAGGTGGGTTATATATTAATTCAAGATAACCAGAAAATAACCACTGGTTAGGGTCAAGTAAAAACAGTAAATATAAGTAGATAAAGGAATAAGAAAATGAAACTTTTTAACCAGCAAATACGGTCAAGAGTAATCTATACAGAATGCACTAAGGTATGCGCTAGAAATTGGACATATAAAGCCTAATTTTTTTCCCATTTTTCTTTTTTTTTTTTTTCAAAACCGATTAACAGAGTTCAATTGGTCAACGTATTGAGGTCTGTCTGCAGATCGTCACAAAATTATGTTTGACTGTATGTTTGCATGCTTAAATTGGTTAATAATAATATTAAAAGCAAATCTGATATTCCTAATTAAGCTAAACTTTCTTTTTTGCACAAAAAATTGTTCACGATTCATAAAATACTGCACGTGGTAAAAGTTCTCAAATTTATGTTGCATGTTTTCATCAATATTTTGTATAAAGGGCTGCTCCTTACAAATGCTCAGACTGTCTCACGTGGAAATCAGTTTTTTTGAATGTTTTAAAGAAAAAAAGAAGTTTTTTAATAAAGCAGCGAAAGCAAAAATTGATTTCAAAACAAATAGCATTTTTGTTGCTCAAGTATGTCAGGTCGAAAAAAGTGTTTATAACCACAATGATTTTTAGACAAAATGGCCACTTTTTGGAGTTTTTTCTGGGTGGCCAAAAAAAAAAGAATTCATGCAGTTGCATAACGCTTCTAGAATTTCCTCAAGATTTTTGTCGCTTTATTGCTGATAATTAAGAGAATGCCAGTTCTTAGCAGAATCCATTCGAATTTTTTCCGATAAAAAACTTACAAATCCTGTTTTAATCATCTCTTGAATTCCTTCAACCTTTCTTGCTCAGTTCTAAAAAAAAGTTTTATACCAGTGTAATCATTAGGACCGACTGCATAAAGAATGAATTATGGAACACAACAGATAAGAGTTAAGCCAGAAGAATAGGTCAGCCTGACTTAGTGGCCAACTCTGACCAGATTAAAAGTTTTTCAGTTGTAGCAAAAAGACTTTTACTTGCTATAGCACAGTGTACGCTGTTTTTTTTTTATAATTTCAGAGCAGAGTAAGCGACTTGGAAAGAAGTTTATCGCATGAAAGACTTGTAAATAGCAGGGTGAGCATTAATTTTATTAATTTCATTTTTTTTTTCATTTCAATCAGACTAACTGTGTCAAGAAATTCATTTCACAAAGTACAAATTGTCTATTTTGCAAAAAAAAAAAAAAAGATAAAAAAATAGTGGACAGTTTTGAAACAGCAGTATTTTCTTGTTGCTTTTACTGCTACGTTTACCAAAACTATCCGTAACAGCCAGGTAGATCAAAGTTGTTCAATAGTCCGTCTATGTCTAACTATTGAAAAAAGCTTCGGATATAATTTGCTGTGACTGATAGACGATTAAAAAACCAAAGAAGAATCAGCTCGTAAAAGCAAATAGGGTACAATACTTCTTCTCCGTTTAGTGGTTGCGGCGCCTAGAAAGCCTCTTTACCGGGCGGAGAAGGAACCGTTAGCTGCGTTCGTCGTGCCCTAACTTAGGCGTTTAATAAACTAACCAATAAATTTTGTTACTGTCTGTTCATATATGGAATTGAACTGTTTTTTAGATGCAAGAAAGATATCGTGATTTAGCCCATAAACTGGAGCAAGCCAACAGACAATTAGATCTGTATCGTATAAGTCCGTATGCGTCAGTATCCGGCGGATTAACACGTTATTCCATTTATACAAATTATTATCCATTTTTTTAAGCAATTAAAACGACAACAACGAAAATACAATTCAGAA